GGAAAACGTTGTTACAAAAGCTAGAATGACCAATAAAAAAAACAAGTATAGGAAAATTCAAAAAGCTTGATATAGTCATTTATAATAACTATTCAGATCTTTTAAAATAGGGGTAATATTAAAAAAATTTAAAATTATTGAATTATATGATAAAATTTGACATTAAAATTAAAAGTAAAAATTACCAATTTTAAAATCCAAATTTAATCACTATAATTATTTTTTTTAAATATGATTCCTTCGCTATATAAGAGTTCTCATGTTTCAAAAACGAGAGCCGAAACCATCAATATAATTATTAACATTAAATTGAATTAAAGTAAGAATCCCTGTTTCATCCTCAAGCAAAAACTTAGGAATAACCAGTAAGCTTAACCCAATCATTAAACGAAAAAACCCTTTATGAAATCGTCAAAAAACAAATTGTAGTTCAGTGCGACGCATTTATATATGAAACAGCCCGTTGAAAACAAATAAATAAATAAACAAATAACATAAAACAAAATTATCCATACACTTAACAACATACTATGGTGCCAAAATCTATCTTCCTCTGTGAATGAACAGACGATGCGCGTACAAGAAAGACATAATTCGCTTTGAAATAGACACCCCGCCCTACCCAGCTTGACCTCTCCCTGAAAGTGACTGATATGTGGATAAAAATAATCGCCCCTACCTTCCGTTTTTAGACTCTGTTTATTTCTTTACCGGCCTGCGAACACGAATACTGTTGTCGGACAATTTCCTCTTTTATTAACAGTTCTCGAATGCATCTGCCGGTAGACAAAAATATTTATCCTTGTCGCATTCATCTTTCCAGCCTTCCCAGTGCTATATAAATTTCTGAGATCAAATACTTTCATTATGTTCTAATAAAATTAATATAAATAATATTAATATTATTAGAAAGCTACTAATTTTACAAGTATGGAGTGACATGTTTTTTTTCTACTCTGGTTGCCTTAATCAAGCATACAATCACAAACGTTAATTACTCGCTGAAGATCGAACTTCGTCAAAATGAGAAGACCTGTGAAATAGTCGAGTCAAACCAAATGCCGCCAAATATCTGTGTAGAACAGGTTCACAACTTAAAATCCAAAGAGTTATAATGTATTTCCCTTTGTGACATAAGACGTATTCACCTCTCGACACTGGAAACCGAATATAAGTTGTAACATTAAATGGAAACAGGAAGCAGAAAACGAGGTTCGCCATTTTATACATACTTGCGCTAAGAGAGATTGTGAGATTCACGCGAGACTTGACGCCACTCTACTGTTCAGATTGCTGGCGCCATTTTCTCTTGCACGGACACCGTTTGTCTGAGCGGTTTCTCTGTGACCAGCGTAGACTTAAAGCTGTCGTTGGCTGAAGAAGAACTTGAATGCGACTGGGGCAGATATATCACGTATTTGTTCAGTTAACATATTGCGACAAACACGGACACAGGTCATATTTTAAGCTCTGAAATAAGCAATGTGTGTGGATGAGTGCGGGTGAGGTAATTGGAAGGAAGGGAGGAGGGAAGTAAGGAAGTAAGGAAGGATAAAGTGAAATAAAAAGGGAAAAGAAAGAGATAAAAAAGCAGGGAAAGAGAGAAAGAAAATGAGAAAGAAATTAATATGATAAAAGGGAAAAAGTGAGACAAAGTGAAAATAAACAGAGAAAGTAAATGGAAGGAGAAGAAAATGAAGGTAAAAAGAAAGAAAGAAGAAGAAAATATGGAAAAAGAAGAGAGAAAAATAAGAAAAAGAATGAAGATGAGATGGATGAATGACGATGAAGAACAAGTTAAAAAAAACAAGAAATAGATGGGAAGGAAAATGAAAGAGGGAAAGGAAAGAGATAAGAATGCAAGGAAAGAGAGAAAGAAAATAAGAAAAACATGAAGACGAAATAAAGGAAAAAAGAGAAAAGCAGAAAAATGATCAGACGAAGAAAAAAATGGCTGAATAAAAAAAAAAGAAAGAAAAGGGAAAAACCCGAAAAAGGAAAAGAAACAAGTGAGACGATTAAGAACTTGTTGACTAAGTAATATTAGTAGTATTAGTAGTATGAGTAGTAATGGTAGCAGTAGTAGGAATAGTAACATAAGGAGGAGGAGAAAGATGAAGAAAGAAAATAAGATGAAGAAGAAAATGATGAAGAAGATGAAGAAACTGGTGCGAAAGAAGAAAATGAAGAAGATATTGAAGAAAATGGTGATAGAAAAGTCGATGGGGACGAACCAGAAGAAGAAGAAGAAGAAGAAGAAATGAAGATGATGAAAAGGCTTTATAAAGATTAAGAATGGCATTCAGAAAAGAAAGGAAGGAAGAAAGAAAGGACTATGCGAGAGACGCAGCGAAGAATAAAAGAGTGACAAACATTGGAGAAGAAAATTAAGGAATCATTGCAGAAGAAAGAGAAAGAGAAGAAGCCGAAATAAAAGTTGAAGAAAGAACAGAGAATTTGAATGGATGTGACGGACATGAGAACGGAATGAAGGAAAGAAGCACAGAGATGAAACAAGGAGAGAAGGAGAGGTAAAAGTGATAGAAGAGGAAAAAGAATTAGATGAAGAATGATGGAGAAGAGGAAGAAAAGAATTAGCGGAGAAGGAGGGGTAGAAAAAGACGAAAGTGTAGAGGACGACGATGAAAGAGGTGGAGAAGAGGAAGAAGAATTAGCGAAAAAGAAAGAGTAAGAGATGAAGAAGAAGAAGAAAAAGAAGAAGAAGCAAGAGAAGAAGAAGAAGAAGAAGAATTGACACTAAAAGAAGCGGTAGAAAAAAGTAAGCGAAGAAGAAAGGATTAGCGGAAAAGAAGGGGTAGAAAAAGACGTAAGTGAAGAGGATGACAATAAAATGGTGGAGAAGACGAAAAAGAATTAGCGAAGAAGAAGAAGAAGAAGAAGAAGAAGAAGAATTAACATCATAAGAAAAAGTAGAAAAGAAGCAAACGAAGAAGAATTAGCAGCAAAGGACGAAGAAGAAGAAGAAGAAGAAGAAGAAGAAGAAGAAGAAGAAGAATTAACATCATAAGACGGAGTAGAAAAGAAGCAAGCGAAGAAGAATTAGCAGCAAAGGACGGTGGTAGAAAAAGAGGCAAGAAGAAGAAGAAGAAGAAGAAGAAAGAAAGAAAGAAAGGATGTGTGGTTATTTGACTTTATTGTATCATGAGTGAATCACTGTGATGAAGATCTATAGATGTCCTTGTGGATGCAATCTGGCGTTTTCACTTATTCCGATTCTGCTCAATATTGTTACCCAGTTCGCGACTAAGAGTGATATCGCAGAATCCATCTTGGCTGTTGGGACACGAATAAGGAATAATGGAAAACCATTAAATAACCCCCCAGTTAGAGCAAACGGCATTGTTGTCATGACAGGACGGGCAAATAGGGATTTAACAATAAATAGCCTACAGAAGGAATTTATGGAGCCCCGCTTGAACGAGTATGGCAAAGTTACCAGATATATAGAAAGCGACCCGAAAAAGGCCCAGCTTAATACAGTACTTGGCAAAAAAATAGGGTAAGGATATTTCGCTACGCTATTTCTCCACCCAAATGGAGAAGGACAAATCTACAGAGACAGTTTGCATTCAGAATTCTTGTTTCTTTTTAATTAATTTTACTGCATTTTTTGGTGAATCATAAGTCTTAAGTTCGTGATTGAATAAACACCTTGCAAGTTTCCCGAGTATAAATCAATCATAGAAATTCCTTTCTTGCAAATTCCTCTTACAAAGTCCTCGGTATGACGATAAACTACATCTGGCAGCAAGGCCTCGGATTGGGAGATTTTCAGGAGCGTGGAACCACCTCTCAATTACTTTTGTTTCCAGATTCAGCCTGACTCGGGGAGGTAGTTCTTGTTAGGGCCCCAGCTATAAGTAAATAGAGAACCCCCAAACAAGGCTTTCCTACCGCCCGGTCAACACTCCTCCCCCTTCTCTTGGACATGAGTAGAGACTTACCCCTTTTTTCTTGTTTAGGAAGAGGGTTTAGGTACTCTCTCTCTCTCTCTCTCTCACTGGCCTCTATCTCCAGTTGCCTTGATCTATCTTCTACTCTTCTCCTCATCCTTTCTTCTATCACTCCTATCTGATCTTGCTCCAAATTTTCTGTAACCCCTTGCATCCTAGTGGCTTCCCGCCTTGCTTGGGGTGAAACGCTTAAAAAACAAAAAAAAAACAAAACAAAAAAAAAACAAAAACGTATGAAAATATAAAAATAATTTTTTACTAAAAATACCAGCAATACATTTTTTATATGAAAAAATACCAACAATCCACATTCATAGTATAATTACCAACAATACATTTCATAGCAAAATTACCAGCAATACATTTTATTTGTATTTGAAGACCTACAATTACGTTCAAAATATATTTAGTTGAATCCATAAAATTGTTTTCAAAATATTTAGATATCGGTATTAAATAACCCATAGAGGTGTTGATATGCCACTACACAAAATCACCCAACTAACCAACCATTTTGTTCAATAATTATTTGAACATTTTTTATGCCGATCTTTCTCTTTCTGCAAGGTCCAAGAACCACTCTAGGTAGAGCGTTATAGATTGATTGATTTGTTTTTTATGGCATGTCAAACATATGCAGGTTATTTAAAACGAGGAAAATTAATTCTTATAAAATATGACAACTCGGACAATTGTGACATTACGAGTTATATTCCTCTAGTATCCGGTAACGATCTAATTGATCCGTTTTCTTTTACGACTCATCAAACTTTTGCAGGTTATTTAAAGCCAAAAAATATTTTTAAATTTTTAGAATATTTATTGAGATAATAATGGTTTACTGATAAAAGTCTTACTAATTAATCCCTAGCTTTGGGGGGGGGAGTAAACATCTTTCCTGAGGGTATTTGCACATAAGGGAATAGAACGAACCCAACGGGAATTGGAACTCGGCTCTCCGATTAACATTTCGAGCCATTATCCATTACACCACCCCTACATACAAGCTTACAGTACCTGGTATTCCCAAATGGTTACCCATCTAGTTACTGATCAGGCTCAACGTTGCTTAACTTCGTTGATCACAAGGGGGAACTGGTGTTTGAACGCGATGCGGCCGTATGCCTGGTAACCACTGGGAATTCAACATGGCTTCGTAATTCTTTTACATGAACATGTAGTGATTCATAAAGGAGAAGCTTAAGTTACCTCCCCTGCATTGTTACATTATAGTAAAAGGAAGAGAAATAGAATTTCTATAATGCACTAGAATGATAATTTTTTCCCGAAAATAAAATAAAAATCTCTCTCTCTCTAAACGCCAACTCTTGTGCAAGAAAAGAAGTATTTTTTTTAAAAATGAGATCTAAGAAAATATGTCTTTATACAGAAAAAGCCTAAAACAATTAGTTTCTTTGCATTAATAGATACAAATCAATATATATATATATATATATATATATATATATATATATATATATATATATATATAACGTATATTTTGGCAGCACATTCTCATTAAGACATGTCTCACTGAATAATCCGATTTTCAATATAATCCTCTCATATTCACGGGCAAGCTTCTTAGTATCCTTATTAAAGAAAGAGAGAAAATTACCATGTTGATACATATTAATTTATTCCGATTACTTTCGACATTAACACAATGTCATCATCAGGGCGTTTTTTTTTTCCTAAGAAAAAATGTTTGTGTTCAAACGTTAAATTTTTTACTCGTGAAGTGAAAAACGATAAGATTATGTATTGCACAATTTAATTCCTATGTTGTAAACGTTAGGGGAGGTAATTAGGTTATTAACTGTCTAAATGTTTTTTTTTTCCAATTTTTGTCTTAGAAAAATAAGGCAGCACTACCTCTTCAAGGCACTTGATGTAGGCCGCCGTGTTGAATCTGAGGCCCTCACCAAGAAATTCTGGAGTTCTTTTCTCATCAGAACGAGCAGAATGAGTTTTCTGAGATTTACCTTCGTAATCACCATTAGACTCATCCGACTCTTTCCGAATTCTTTCCACTCTCCTCAAATTGACACCAAAACACTGTGAAATGTTCGTATTTGACTTTCGGTGGGTTATGCTAAGCGCAGTAAATTGCGTCATGCTGCACTTTTTCTCACAGAGGGTGACCAACTTAACCTATTATACCGAGCCCAAAATGCAAATTACAAATCGGACATAATAAAATCAAACAAGTTATAAAATTTAAATATCTGAGACGTGTTATTACAGAGTACGGAAAGTGCGATACTGAAATCCGAAGATGCACTGGGATAGCTAAAGATGCCTTCCAAAAGCTAAGTAGAATATTAAGAAATAGAAAACTACGTGAAAAACAACGAAAAAACTACTGACCTGTTACGCGATATCTGTCCTCCGATATGACAGTGCATTCTGTTTTTGTTGTCTCCGATTTGCAATTTGCATTTTGAGCACAGCCCTTTTTTCTAACGAGCAGGTGTTGTCTTCTTGCGGTAGCACGTTTAAACGCCGGCTCACATCCGATCACCAAAGAGAAGCAATGTCGAGCCTGATCAATATCTAGATGGGTGACTGCTTGGGAATACCAAGTAGTGAAAGCTTGATGTGCGGGTGGTTTAATGAATAAGGGCACAGAATTTGAATGTATCCTCTCCTCAGATTTGAAGAGAATTGAAGCTATAAAAATGTGGTTCTACAGAAGGATAATGAGGATAGCACAGAATAAACATGTGAGCAACCACGAGTTTTGTGATATTCGACGACTTCGCATGTCATTTTTGCTATGTCAAGCGAAAGCTCGTTATCACTTCCGACAATTCTCGTTATATTCGAGATTTTGTCGACGCCGATAATAGTAGCAACGTCTTCCAATAATATCCGCACTAGTAATACTTGTCCAAGTAGTAATCGCCAAATAGTATAATGCTCAGAAGAGAATCGTAATCCGTATAGTAGTAGAATGAGTGAACATATAGCAACAGTGGATAGAGAAGAAGAGTAAATAGTGATACGTATGGTGATAGAAGAGAAATAGAGATCAGTTAGTTATCAGGCTACTTGGTATTTATTCACTTGCTTTATGATCACGTGATCTACTTAATAATGCAATCGTCCGTGTTACTCACTCGCGATCTAGTTTCAAACCACACTTATTCTTATAGAACATAGAGAAAATGGAAACATGAAGGAAACTTATACTTAACATCCGGAAGAGACAGTTGAAATTTCTAAGGCACAGAATGAGGAAGGAGGGCTTGGAAAATCTGATACTCACAAGACACATTGAAGGCAAGGGGGACAGAGGAAAACAGAGCATAACATACTTGATGGGCTTAAATAAATGGCTGGCAGAAGAGGGTTTAAGAGAGATGACGAAAAGACAAAATTTATTAAGAGCTACAAAGGACGAGAAATTGTGGAGAGCCAATACCGGCTACCTCCTGAGTGGGGCACGGTAGATAAAGAAGAAGAAGAAGAAGAAGAAGAAGAAGAAGAAGAAGAAGAAGAAGAAGAAGATAGTCGTTAGCATTTGAGGACATCAATAGCCGACAAAGAAAGACATGCTATCATTTATAGGCGTATGATAATTCTCTCTGCTTCGAGCGGAGAGATGAATGTCTGCTTGGATGAATGTCACACTGTCTCTTACTACTTCTCTTACGAAGGTTCACAGCTTCTGGCTTGTTCCTATCTCATCGAAATTGCCCTAGCATTTCATGAGTCAAGTACGACGCTGACCACGGCACCATGCCAAGCAGCTGAATCGTACCCCCAAAGAATCTATTAGCCGGGTCACTAATCATTCACCGTTGAGCCGAATCGTTATCCACATGTCAAAAGGTCCAGGTAGTTGGAAATTTTCTTTCACTTATTACTGTCTACGTTTGCATGTATTACACGACTTTTGATCAGTGGTCACCTAAGGAAGCGAGATATTATCTGGGGTAATAAATTATTTTCCAATTGCTCACCTACAGAAAGTATAGAGATATTTTTCTTCTCTACAACAACTTCTCTTAATGAAAAAAAATCATCATTACTAGTTGAAGTATTTTAATTAACCCTGCGTTTGTAACATGGTGTGTTACATGTTGTTACTCGTAATTCCTAGTCAGTAACTTGTTTCTTTCGCTACCTTCGATTATTCTCTTGACTCAGTGACGGTGGGTAACATGCAGCATGGCGCAGCTGTAGTTTAGTTGTCGTGCGAGGCAGTTGCCAGAGGACTATCCATTTTCGGAAATCCGAGGTGAACGATGCAGGTTTGACATTCACTTCTTTTTGCTTCTTGATTTTACAGACTTTAGCACAACGTTTAGACCGGTCGAATCTTCGTTCTTCTTTTATAATTGCCTAATTTCTGACAGAATGCCTGGGATGACGCATTACATTCTTTACACTCGCCCTAAGGTCTATCATCTTTGTTTTCATTATCACGACAGTTTCTGGCTTTCTGCAGGTGTTTCTCAATACGGATAACCTTCTTGGAAATACGACTTCGGATTTCGGAGTCGCATTTCGTATCCACTGTTTAGACATTCCCCAAATATTTAAACTTTTGAACACTGTTGTTGGCGCTGCCAATTCGCAGTTAACATCTTCGGCTTTTCTTTTTTTTAGCTCCCAACAATTTACTCTAACCGAAAAATATCAATGCCACTCCGCTTATTTCAACCCGCTCATATTCTGAGAACTTTTCCGAACTCACTCCTGAAACATTATTTACATTATTCGGACTATTTTCCTCATCTTTTTCGCCATATTTATCACAACGTTTCGGCCGTTGTACGCTCCGGCCCTCTTTGGGTGGTTGGAATGTCGAACATCATACATAATACCTCATCTCAGAAATATATTAAGTTGGTGCAAATATAATAACGTAAGAATGTCGTTTTTTTGACGTTAAAAAAAACGTCAAAAAACGACATTATTACGTCATTATTTTTGCACCAATCTAATAGACTTACTCCTGAAACTTAAAAAATGTGATTTGAATTTTCATTTAAAGCTGAAACATATCTTTTGATTGTAAGAATAATTCTTGTTTTGACATTTTGTTTACGACTAAATAACGTATTAAAACTATTTATTTGGAGATAATAATGATTTCCAGATATATGTTTTACTATTTAACCCATAACTGGAGGGAAGAAACGTTGGATTTATACCTTTTCCAATGGTCTAGAATTTAAATTCGGTTCTCCGATCAAAATTTGTGCACTCATCCATTACCCACCACCCATCCAAGCTTTCAGTATCTGGTATTCCGAAGCAGTCATCCATCTAGATATTGACCAGGCTCGACATCGCTTAACGTGGGTGATCGGACGAAATCCGGTGTTTGAACGTTCTATTGCAAGAAGACAGAATACATAGTTGTTAGCAAATGGGGTAACCCCAAAATGCAAATTACAAATCGGGGATACGAAAGTCATACCAGTTAAAAAAACTTAAATATCTGGGAAGTGTTATAACAGAGGACATAGTGTGACACTGAAATCCGAAGACACATTTACATTTGCAATCTTCATCTTTTTTTTTTTTCATTATCATATCGTTTTAGTAGTTATGTCTTCTGGCCTTCTTCAGGTATCTGTCAGTACAGATAACCCTTTGGGAAATACACCTCCGGATTTCGGTGTCGCATTTTCTGTCCCCTGCTAAAACGCTTCCTACCGTCCTTAGACTTTTCTCAACAAATTCTCAAAAGCAGTCATATGACATAATGACATTACAGAGCAATAAAATAACCAATCGAAAGAATAAAACATAGAATCAAATAAATTCACTTTGTGACGGTTACACACCTGGCCCAGGGTCGAATCCCTTGGTTACGGCGCCAACTGTGACGTCGCTCCTCCTGGTCGCTCCTCCTGGTTCCAAGCGTGCCGCTCCAACCCCTTGGTTGGATGATCACCAGCCTCGCCTTTCCCAACTCGCTTCCAATACCTGGTCACTAAAGCAACTTTACCGATCTCCGGTCTGTCTACCCACGCTGTGTTTAGATCTTAGACAGACGGGACCAGCAGGGATTGGGGCCGATACAAGTTGAGTCCGACGGGGGTGGCAAAACACAAATAAAAGAGAAAATAAACTCACGAGACAAAAAAATTACTGATAAAAAAGGGTGACAACCTTTTATATCTAATGTCCGTTACATAAAGAAAAATTGTTCTCAATTCCCGACCCGCTCTGTGGACTATGGCACCAAGCTTCTATCACACAACCTAAAGATTTCGAATTGCCTACTCTTTAGAATTGTGTATGTCGGAGTGTGGTTTGGTTCGACACTGGGGCTAATTTCTATCGATCATTCGCAGTTGATTCTTCTCTTCGACTTGAGTTGTATTTCTTCTTCTTCGTCGACTTAGGCTGGAAGTTCTCTCGTCTTCGACTTGGGCTGGAAGGATCTCTTGCCGCAACTCAGCCGCAACTCTCTGTCGTCCGAGGTGATCTCTTCTCGCTGCCGTCCGGGGCTGAACTCTGCCGTAACTCTGCCACAACTCTTGGCGTCCTTCGAGCAATCTCCTTCTTCGTCTGCTTGGGCTGGAAGTTCTCTTGTCTTCGACTTGGGTGGAAGGATTTCTTGTCTGAGGATTCTCTTGCCCGCAAAGGGGCGAGTGAATCGGGCCCGATGCCCGCGTTCAGGCTCTTTCCCTGCCCGCGGTCCAGCTGCAACTCCTCTCCAACTGATTTCTGTCGACTGGGGTCCTGCTTTTATTGACGCCGCAGCAAACCGGGGTGGGTCTGTCGGCGTCAGGGTTTTCTCGATAATTTCAAAAGTCGCATTATTTCTGTCTTCTCATTATCGCTATTATTTTCACCCCTACTTCCCTCATAGTGCCTTTGGTGGGGAGGCGCGTATGTCAGGTGACCGCTTTCGACCAATGGTTCCTGATCGAGCATTTCTTTCTTTTCTTTTCCGCAGCCACGTGACCGTTTTCGGCTAATGAGACTCTGGTTGGGCGTTTTCCTGCAATCAATCAGGGCGGGCTTATATCGTTCTTGTTCTGAAAAACAAAAATCTAATTTGGCCTTTTTTCGCACGTACGAAAATGATAATCTTGGCTTTTTCTCACCTGGGTTTTTATCAACACAGCCTGCCGCTAATTAGATGTGACTTCAGGGAAGAATATTGGCGCTATCTGTGAACTGAGACAATCGTTTTTTTCACCTCTTGTTTTTGGTCAGACCCGACAGTCAGAAAATCTTAATTATCTACATTGAAAATATCTTTCACTCGTCAATGTGGGGTTCTAATTTTTTTAACAGGTCAGAATCTGTATACAATTCCACCGGTCCTCCCCAACCCAAAAACACTTTTTCTCTGATTAAGATTTCGTTTTCATTGTTCCCAAAATTTCCCTTTATCCAAATTGATAAGGTGTCTTTCTACGCAAAAGTAGGCTAGATGCTTTGACCGATATCTGGTTTTCATCAAGCGGCCCGTTTTGATATCATGTCTTTTCCCTTTCTTTCTTTTTATTATTTCTAATTCTATTCTTCCAATTGTCTTTAAAAATTCGGCCACACACACAGGCCAAGATATCTTTCTGACTCGTGTTTTTGTTAATGACCGCTTTTTTGTATTTCTCGACCTCTCTCTTTTGCTTTTTCTCTTTTTCTTCCTCTTCTTCCCTTAGGATCGTCTAAGTACAATCTTAGTGAATTATTTTCAACTCAATTATTTTCCGTTTTAAAAAAAAATCAACAACCTGTTTAGTAAACCGAGTAAGAAAAAATTAAATCATATTTCTATGAATATTTCTAATAATGCAAGGTGCCACAACTTTATGAGGTCAGATCAAAAAGTATCGGAACTGTTGCTATGATAACGATGCAAAAGCAGACAGAGTGAAACCGCTTAACACGGAGTGGCCTTAAGCGTTGTCACACATGCGCCATAATTTATAATGTTCTCACTCACTTCGGTTGTTTATAGCAATGCTTGGAAAACCTTTTGAAAACGGGCATAACAAGTGACGAATCGTGGATCAATGAATATAATCCAGAAACCAATCATCCTGTGTAAGACGATAAACTCCGTCAGACAGCATGGCCTCCGATCTTTTGGTTTTGAGGAGCGTGGAATCATCTCTTAATTGCTTGTGTTCACAAGTCCACCATGACCACGGGTGTTAGCACATGTAAGTGGTCCCAGCTATGGGCAAATAGTTAACCCCTAAACTGGGGTCAAAGCACTGTGAAAGTCTAAAAATAGGTTTTAATACCAGAAATAGTTTTTTGTAAAAAAAATATTACCAGCAATAAATATTTGAAGGAAAAATTATTACCAGCAATAAATTTTTGAAGGAAAAAATTATTACCAGCAATATATTTTTTGAAAAAAAATATTACCAGCAATACTTTTTTGGAATTGAATTATTACCAGCAATAAAAAATTTTGTCGGCATTAAATAACCCATATACCGTAAAACAAACCAAACCAAACCAAATCAAACCGATCCAAACTGAAACCAATGATCAGTCTTTGCAGTGCCAGACCCAAAAACTCTCAGAGACTGAAGA